AGAGATAGACATGGTGGACACAGGAGGAAAAGGCTCACGGGAGGACGCACAGAAAGAACGGAAACGTTGGGTCGCAAAAGACGGGGTGAGAGAGCTCGGGTCGTAGGGAAGAGGAGGAAGGAAATGAAACGAAATGAAAGAAAGAAAAAAAAGAAAGGGTAAAAGAAAGAACGAAAGAACGAAGGAAGGAAAGAAAAGGAGAGGCGCGCAAGGGTCTGCGAAGCTCTCTCGCTCCATTCTTACGTATTACGTGCACGAGCACGAGCGGAGCCTTGTATTACACCATTATCGTGACAAAGAAACTCGCTATTCGGCCGCATCCGAGCGACGAGGACGAGAATAAAGAGTATAGAGTGGTTGCGATTTTCGCGTGTGCGTTCGTACGTGTGCACACTACCGAACGATATGGACATATGCGCGCGTCTAGACGGAGAAACGAGAAAGAAAAGATGAAAAACAGAGAAAGAGAAAAGGAGAACGTAGAAGGGAGTGAGACAGGGTGGGCGGCGAGAGGGGGAGCGGGCGGGGAGGGCGGCAGGGAGAGAGAGAGAGAGGAAGAGAAGAAGACGGAAGAAACGAAGACAGACGAAGTCTGTACTCTTATCGTACGACAGTTCGTGCATGTGCATCGAGGAACACAAACATACAGGTTCCACACGTGAATCGTGGCGCGCGTACTTGCACACAATGTTGAGTAACATAAATGTGCACGGAAGGAGCAACACCTCACAAACGCGGCCTAGGCAAGAGAGCTATTTGTAATGTAATAGTGAGAGCACCAGTGGGGAAAGGGAGAGTGGAGGAAGGTGGTGGTAGGTGGTGGGGCAATGGTGGGAGGAAAGAGTAAGCGTAGGAAAAAGATAGATAGAGGGAGAGCGAGTAAGAGAGGAAGAGAGAAGAGAAGAGGTGCCACTCGACGAGGAACCAATACTACGGTCCCTTTACGAACGAACTCACGAGGCTCGCGAGGCCTCCTCTCTAGCGTGAGTATTCCGCCGGGAGTTCTCGAGAGAGAGAGAACCGTGCTTTTCGGACCCTCAACCCTTTCTGGGCTCGTCTGTAAGCCACGGGGCCCACCTGGCCTCTTCTCTACCACCACCACCACCACCACCACCGCAGAGTCACTACTACCACAGTTACCATCGTCGTCACTGTCACCGTCCTGCCACGCTCCGATCAGTGGACGGTATATACGCACTCGTTTCAAGCGGAATTCGTGTACCACCACTACTATCGGATCGCATCAACCACCACCATCGTAACCACCACCACTACCACCACTACCACCACTACCATCACCACCACCACCATCACTACCACCACCACCACCGTAGTCACTCGTCGACTGCCCAGTCTACCTCTCTTCGCGTTTACCTAGGACCAGCCAGAGAAAGAGAAAGAGAGAGAAAAAGCGAAGTATCGTACGCAGAACGGAGATAGAGGTAGAGATAGAGATAGACGGATAGTCAGAGAGACAGAGAGAAAGGGAGAGAGTAAGAGAGAGAGAGAGAGAGAGGGACAAGAGAGAGAGAGGGAGGGAAAAGAGAGCGAGAGGGGGGAGAAAGAGGAAAAGAGAAAGAAGGAAAGAGTGAGAGAGCGTGAACAGCACAGAGAGTAAGAGAGGGTCTCGGGTTTGCGCAAAAGTTACGACGGAGCGAGGAGCAGTGAGACACACCGCGGAGACCGGAAGAGACCCTCTCTCCCTGAAGAAGTTCTCCGGCGAAGTGAGAAAGAGAGAGAGATCACGCGCGAAAAACATACATCGTGTCGATCGAACGTGTCGTTTCTGTGTATGACGTGCGTGTGTGCAACGCGTGTGTAGTGAGACAAATTTCGTGAAAGTCAACGACGACATTGTTAACGTTTCGTTTCTATCGGTGATCGTGCTCACGATCATCGTCGTTGTCATTGTTGTCGTGGTCGTCGTAGTCGTTGTCGTGGTCGTGGTCGTGGTCGTGATCGTTGCCGTCGTTCGCCGCGAGTCTTCGTCGGGAGGCCACGTGGCCTCTGGTTGCTCCTATCTACCGGATTTCCATGGGACTGTGCCGACACGATCGGACATCGTCCGCACCGTGAATTTTCTCCGGCTTTTTATTATATCGTGGTATCTGAAAACGAGTGGCACAACACGTCGTTATCAGTGCGATCCGAGTGCGCGTTCCTGCCGAACGAAAACACCGGACACGTGCTCATCCGCACGTGCTTTCGTCGACGCACGTGCTCTTTAGGCAAGTCCGGTGTCGTATATTAAACGAGCTTTTCGGGGATTTCAGAAGAATGTCAACGGTTTAAGCGGATCGCGGTTGTGCATCGTCGGCATCGATACGACGATATTTAAAATCGCAAGAATTGGAACTGTGACACAGGGAAAGCGAGAGAGAGAGGGAGAGACAGAGAGAGAAAGAGAGAAAGAGAGAAATAGAGAGAAAGGGGGAAAGAAAGGAAGAAATAAAGAGGGAGATAGCCGAGACAGCTGGGGAAATTGTGAAATCGTGAAAGGATCGGAGCGAAAGGAAGAGAAAGGAAGGGAAAGGTGGAGAAAGGAGAAAGAAGAAGGTGGAAAGGAGGAAAGGAAGAAGAAGAAGAAGAAGAAGAAGAAGCTTCGGAAGAGCAAAGAGCGAGACTCGGTGCTTGGTTGCCGCTTACGTACCAAGCAAGAGCGGGCTGCGTTGTGTAAGAGCTGAAAGTAAAAGTTGAAACCGCCGAGTTGGGCTCGCGGGAGCGCGTGCGGAGCGCGCTAAAATCCGATCCTGTCTCGTAGGCTGGGCATAGCCGAATATCTCTGCCTCTCTCTCTCTGTCTTTCTCTCGGTGGCTTTCGGATTTGGTCCCACCTTCGAGCTGTTTCTCTTGGACGTGTCTCCTAAGCGAGAGTCGATCGCGGGCACCATTCCCGCGGAAGGAACACGGTGATTGTCGGGAACTCGAACAGTGGAACGCACGAAACGGAACGAAACGAAACGAAACGAAACGAGACGAGACGGAAAACGGGAGCAAGAAAAGAAGTGTGCAATTGTGTAACAACATTTCTAGTCCGCTGCTTCGTGAAATCTGTGTCTAATTCCGATTAGACGACGCTGGTGCACGCCGACGCGAACTCTCGGTTTGGTCTCTCCCGCGACGAAAACAGGTGAAAGAGCGCGCATACGGTGAACGCGTTCGATCACAATCGTTGCCCG